GGGTTTGTATGTTGAACTTGATGGAGAATTGAGTTTTGAGTTGTTGGTCCAAACAATTGGTATCAGAATCACGGTTGGTAGCCCAGTTGCGATATGGATGCCGTGGCATGTTCCCTGTGGAGCCGGAAGGGCCGGTAGATCCGTGTGCCTTGTGTCGAAAGTCTTCCTGGCGAAAGGGTGTGGTCAGGCGGCGGGTTCCGTGGGGGATAACGACGGTACAAGATGGTCGGATCGTGAATTTCATTAAAATGGAGACCCATATGGTCTTGTGTTTGAGGAGAGGTTTGTTGGGTGTGCAAACCCAATTCCACATCGGAAGATTAAAAATTTCCAAGTCAATATATAAGCTTGGTGGACTACTCCTTCAATTGCCAATTGGTTTTAGAATGGAATTTCGTTTAAACTTGTATGTTGGGCTTGATGGAGAACTGGGTTTTGAGTTGTTGGTCCTAACAAATATTATCAATATTATGAATATATATTTTTATAAAACTCCTTTTGTTTTTTGGTATGTTATGTGATTACATTAAGTACAATGTCATAATTGCACTTCTTCAAAAGTATAGAATTAGACATGGCCAAAACTCGGGCCCCCGCTGGACCACCAGGTTGGGTTTCGACGACCCTAAACCGGAACGGACCTAGGGTCGTGTCGGGTCCATGACCCGACGGGCAGGGTCGGGCCGGACCCGGGTCTGGACCCGGCTGCATAAAAAAAAAATAAAGAAAAAATAAAGAAAAAAATTAAAAGGCAATGTATTTTTCGTGTCGACACGGACCGGACCCGGCCCAGCCCGCCGGGTCAAGGTAAAAAAAAAAGACCCTCTTCTGTTTTTCGGATCGCTCGAATCCCTAGCTTTTGATCCATCCTAACTCGAATTCTATAAATCTTTCTATTTCTTTACGCTATAGTTTACAACTTTAGGTTTGGATTCAGTTCCATACCTATTTACCTCGCCCCATTGGTCAACTCAGTACCAACACAACTGGTGACCTCGTTTTCACATCTTCTTTTGGTCTGTGCACGATCAACTGCTCTTCAGAAAGAGGGCTACTCAAGGAGTTTAGGGATTACTGTAAGAACTTGTATAAGTTGGGAAAATTGAGGACTTACCTCTTCCATTGTATGAACATACTAGTATTCTACCCTGTGCATTTGCACAGATGTAAATAAAGTATTGTGAGTTATTTGTATACATATAATGATTTGTAACACCCCGAACAAATATTATATTAATAGCTCGACTTA